AGGTGTTTGAGGTGACAGGAAAAGGGAGTCTGGTAGCAAGGGGTTCTGGGAAGGAGAAGGAGGAAGAGGTCTGAGATCCATTTTGGGGCAGGCTGGCTGCAGAGCTGATGGGGAGGGATGCCCTGGACCTCCAGAGTGCTGCCCCTCTTGAAATGACCATGCTGTAAGCTCTGGGCTTCCTCCATGCAGACTGAAGGTGTAAATAAACCACATTTCTTAAAGCTGCAACAGTCTTCACCATGTCTCAATTCCCTGGGTGAGTGCCATGGGCTTTTGCCACCTCTCGGCAGACACATAACTTTTTAAACATTTATATGACAGCATCAGTGTCCGTGACAGCAAGGGTAAGAATCCTTTCTCAGCTCTGGTTGCCCTGCCCACTTTTGCCTCTAGCCCCTCCCACCTCTGGTATGTGGCCCTTAGGAGGTTCCCCAGAAGGTAATGTGGCCCCTGGCCTGAAAAAGTTCCCCTCTCCCTGCCCAAAACAATTTGATCACTGAGTGGCTGCAGAAAAACCTCTGAGTTTAATCAGCCCTCTGCTTTAATCAGCCCAGGCTACAGAACAATTAGACCCAGAATATACCTGATTAGAATAAAACGGGGCAGGGGGATCGCTCAATATTCTTTGCAGCCCCTCTGCTTGCTTGTAGTCACATGCAGAATGTCAAAGGTTCGGAGGGAATGAGGCCCAACGCTCATAACAACCTCTCGAATTCTGTGAACGAAAACCATCTGCCTTCCTACCTGGGGACTGATAATTTCCTTCTAGAAAGTGGATGCAAGTCAAGCATCTGTGCTTAGCCTCTTGTTGCTGCCAGAAGCTTTTGATACCATTTAAACAAAAGACTTTGTTGGACAGCCTCGCAGACCTGTGTTTAATTAATCCCCCTGCTGGCAGAAATACCAGACAAGTATCGGGAGGTTTTCTGTTTTGAACTGCAACTGGGGCCCGGCGATCATTTAGCTGCCATTTAGAAGGGACGCGGGTGGCGCTGTGGGTTAAACCACAGAGCCTAGGGCTTGCCGATCAGAAGGTCTGCGGTTTGAATCCCTGCGACGGGGTGAGCTCCCGTTGCTCGGTCCCAGCTCCTGCCCACCTAGCAGTTCGAAAACACGTCGAAGTGCAAGTAGATAAATAGGTAGCACTCCAGCGGGAAGGTAAACGGCGTTTCCGTGCGCTGCTCTGGTTCGCCAGAAGCGGCTTAGTCATGCTGGCCACATGACCCGGAAGCTGTACACCGGCTCCTTTGGCCAATAAAGCAAGATGAGTGCCGCAACCCCAGAGTTGATCACGACTGGACCTAATAGTCAGGGATCCCTTTACCCTTTACCTATAGATGGCAGTTTTTTTGAAGGAACGGTCTGCTTATTGGTGTGCTCAAGCCTTGCAAGCTCCTCATTGGCTGATCATGCCTATATAAGAATAAGTGAAATATACTCGGAATTGAGTGTTGATTTCATGCTCTTCATTTCAGCTCATGGTCAAAAGTGAGTGAGTTTCCCCCAAAAACCTCTGGCTATATATACATTATTTACACAATGGGTCCCGATTGATTGGCTGATTCAGCTCCCCTCCTGGAGCCTGATTGGGCTGCTCCTGTGGGCCAATCAGGTTGCTGATTCACTTCCTCCTGGAGCCGGATTGGGCTGCTCCTGCAGACCAATCAAGTTGCTGCCTTCTAGGATCCTACCTGCCTATTGTTCTAGGATCCAAGTTCAGTACATAACAATAAGAAAATTGGAAATGTATGTATAACAGCATGGTGAGCTGGCAGCTCCATGCTCCTGACAGGGGAGGAATTTTGGCTTTCAAATTTCAGCAGCACCCTGTGCGAGGCCAAAATTCAGTCGTCATCCCCTGCCCCCACTTCCTCTCACCTTCTGTTCTGCTCAACTCACTACATCATAGTTGCAGCGCCCCCTAGGTTCGGCACCCAGTGCAGAGGAACTGGTTGTGCTGCCCTAAATCCGCTCCTTACTTTACATTGATTGTGTATTGCACAGGAAAATCTAGATGAGAAATAACCAAGAAAGCAGGTGCCTTATTAAAGTGAAGAAATAATCCCGCCTGGGGCTAAGATTACTGCAAGATTGTGAGTTTAAAGAAAGACTTAGGACTTGTCACTCATCAGCTAGAACCAGTAGCATTGGAACAATTGCCTCTAGCAGTGGGATCGGGAACCTTTCACAGCCCATTCACTTCTGGGCAAATAGTTGGGGGCCATATCCCAGAGGTGAGCAGTGCCAGAGGCAAAACTAGAGAAGAAACATGGACTCCTTGTCTCAGTGACGTCTATGCTGGCTTGGTCATGCCACTATATTGCCTACCCCTGCTCTACAGCCTCTTGTCTGCTACTGGACTCTGGAGTCATGACAGCTGGGTTCTGACACCAGGCAGCCCACTTTTGTCCAAACTACCAAGCATCATTCAATTTCCACTGCAAGCAGTCTGTGCCCCAGAGCCTGGGGAAGAAGCATCACATCAAACTGAGATGAGCAGCAGTGCACCAGCATAGAGGAGGCATGGAGAGAAAAGTTAAGACTGTGCAAAAGATGGATGAGTCATTTTTAGTTTCCCATTTTTCCAATCCTAAATTCAGTTAACCACATTTTCTGCATCCATTTGCAAAAAAATATTTTCCCTAATGTCATCACAAATTTCCACCAGCATTTTAATGCAAATTTCAGCATGTAGATTTCCATACTGTGCAGGCTTTTGCAAGTGATTCCCCATAATGTAAGTCATTTTTGTATGCTACATTTCACTAATATATGCATTTGTAGGAACACTTTCCCCAAATATAGTGTTTCCTACCACCCTAATCTCTGAGTGCTGTGAGGTTTCAGGGGTTTGAGGCACTTATCTAGGGTCTGTGTTTCCTTCAGGAATGAGGCACTGTGGAAACTGTGGTGTCTTTATGACATATGGTGTCTTTACACATATATACAACCTGAGCCAACAATGCAGGGGTTCACAGCATTGACATCCTAAAAGGGTCTTGTTTTTTTCCATATCCACAGCCTGCTGTCAGGCGTTGCTCTGAAGGTCTCTCCAGCTTGCTGCTTTGTGTCTAGGTCACATCACTGCCAGTTTCAACTCCAGACTCAGGTTTTGCCCTTCTAACTATCTCTGATAGTTTGCAGTCTCACACAGAACTCCCTTTCCTTGGTTCTCCTAATGGCCCATCACCAGTGCTATTTCTTTTTTAGCGAAAGAGGTGCCTGAACTCACCATGAACGTCTCCCTTGTTCTCTTAAGATGGCAATGGCACCCACCTGAAAGGTGCCAGAACTGAGTTCTGGTGAGTTCCAGCTGGGGGGGAGCCCTGCCCATTGCCCAGGTGATCACCTCAAAACAGGAAGCTAGCCTGGCTTATATTTTAAGACTTGGTGGATCCAGGAATTAGAAGGATCTTGCAAACAGCCTATTTCATCCCCCGCAAACTCATAACAATATACATTTTCATACACACTTTGTGGTCATAAGAACATAAGAAGGGTCTGCTGGATCAGGCCTGTGGCCCATCTTGTCCAGGATCCTGTTCACACAATAGCCAATAGGGGGGACTGAAAAAATGGAAAGTCTACCACTGGCTATGCCATATATATTGGAAATCCCCTGGTTCAGCGAAAATCCCAGAAACAAACTTTCGTTGCCACAAGTACTTGTGAAGCAGAGTACTCGGCCATAAGTGAATGTGTGTCACAAATAGAGTGGTTTGCTTGCCTAACAAAAGAACTAGGAATACCTTATGAAATGCCAATCACTGTGCTCGGTGACAACATGGCAGCACAGCAGCTTGCCAACCAGCAGAACTTTAAGAGCAAAAGCAAACATATTGCTATAAGATATGGAAATGTAAAAAATGCTTTGGAAAGAAATGTGTTAAAAGTACAGCATTGTAACACAAAATGTAATGTGGCTGATTTATATACAAAATGTTTGGATGCTCCTAAATTTTGAGACTTAAGAGAATTGTTAGGTCTCAAGCCTTTGACTTAGGGAGGAGTGTTGGGATCACAGAATGCTGTGTAAGATAGTAAGTCTGCAGGCTTGAGTTTGCTAGCTGATGCAACAGACTGATGCAATCAGCCTGCAATACTTTCTATGGAGGTGCTGGGGTCAGAATGACTCGGCAGTAATGTGCTGACAGTTGATTGGCTGTCATAGGTTTAAAAGGGAAACCTGTCCAGCAGTAATGGTGGTGTAGAGGAGTGTGGTCAGAGAGAAAGAGCCTTCCTATTCGCCTTAAGGTGCAGCCAGGTACTCTGTTTGACTGTATGAACTGCTTTTGTATTATAGCCTGTAAATATTTGTGTATATAGCTCACAATAAATAATACTGCACTGAAGAACCTGGAACTCTGAGCATTTCTGCTAAAAGCGCCGCGAAGAATTCGCGACACTCTCCTGTGGTTTCCAGCAACTGGTATCAGAAGCATTACTGCATGCTCAGAGAAGGGCATAAAAAAATTCAGAGAAGTGAGCAATTCAAGGGGTTTTGGCCATGTATTGTTTTAGGAAGAGTGAAGTAGTTAAGCTTGCAATAATGTGCAAACCAAACTGGATTTCTCTCCCAGCTCTAACAAAGAACCTTATGGAGACTCGCTCCCCATCCTGCTTTCCAGACACACATAGTGCCATATTGCAGCCATGGACTTCAGGGTTTCATTCCCTGCAATGACAGCGGATGCTTCAGATAACTCATTCCTAAGATTGGATCTGCTGTGTCTGCTTCTGATGATACATGCTGGTTTTCTAGCTCATTGCCTTCTTCTTCAAATTAAAAAAATGCCAGTGAGTCTGATATCATGCTTGATGCTAAATTAATCCGAAGAAGGGACAGTAATATTTACACATATCTTAGTGAAAATCAACTTTAAATGACTTTGAAAATGAAGCAACAGCTCATGCACACACTCGGTAATTATTGCTTCTCCATGTGGTCTTCCAGCAGATAGCATTCAACTCCAACCCCCTGCAATGAAGGAATATGCAGCTGTCGCATAAGGGGATCGACCCTGCCACCTTGGCATTATCAACACCATGCTCTAACCAACTGAGCTATCCAGGCATCTGAGTCTGGGAAAAGAAGCTCACTGAGAAAGTAAACCAGCCTTCCTGAAGCTAGTACTGTCCAGATATTTTGGACTGTGATTCTCATCAGCCTCACTCAGCATGGCTTTTGCTGGCTGGGGCTGATGGGAATTGTAGTCCACAGCACCTGGAAGACTCCAGCTTGTGGAAGGCTGGATGACACCAACGCAGGGCCAGTTCTAATTCATGCGAAAGGGACCCATTTTTTGCTGCTCTAGGTGGGCATCCACCGTACCTGCCAGTTGGGGCTGCATTTACGGCTTAGCGGATCACAAGTTATAATCCAGGTCTGCTCTACTTCTTATGCAGCAGCAGCAGGCTGGCATTTAATGCCGTTTGAAATAGAAAGTGATGTGCAAAGGTGCAAATTTATGCAGCCTAAAAATGAAGCTTTTCTCGCAGCTCCGGGGCTGCTGCTGACAAAGTGCAAACAGGCGTAGGAGGAGACACCCTCTGCGCACTGTTTATGAGAAGAAAGCAGCGAGAGGATGTTGAACTTAGGAGTGAAACAAATCTCCCTGGTTTCCCCAAGGCTGCAGCCAAAAAAATAAAAAAGAAAGGAAAAGAAAGGCACATTTCACAAAGGTGAGAAAAAGTCCCCAAAAGGCAGCAGCAGGGACTTTGAGCAGTTTCAAGGAGTGGAGCTACAGAATGGAGGACAATGTGGAATGAGACCAAGTCTCTTTGCTTATAGGTAACGTGAACCAGCTAATAATTATAGCCATACAGTTATGGCCTGAACTTGTGTAGGAAGAAGCAAGGCTGTGCATGTCATTCTTGGTCCCACTGTCCACCTATGGAGCGGCTCCACCCAAAACCTTCCCACATTCTGAGGAAGCAGGGATATAGTAAGGTGCCTTATTCTGAGTCAGACCACTGGGTCTGTTACACATGTGTACCTGGAGTAGGGTTGCCATATTTCAAACAGTGAAAATCCAGACGCAAAAGTTGTTGAGCTTTCTTTTCCCCCAAAGTTGTTGAGTTGTGATTGTTTGTTTTTTGTTTGCAAAATCTCCAAAAAGAGAGTGAAGTTTTTAAGCTACTTTTTAGGGAAATTGCCAAAAATTGAACACTTCTGATATGGGCTGCCATACATCCGGGTATTCCCGGACATTTGAAGCAATTTTAGAAATTTCCACCCAGACACCATTTTTGATGGATGAATCCTGGCTATGTCAGGGAAATTTCGGATGTATGGCAGCCCTAACTTAGACTCACATGTGCGCAGCCAGAAGAAGAAGAAGAAGAAGAAGAAGAAGAAGAAGAAGAAGAAGACGCAGCAGCGTTTGGATTTGATATCCCGCTTTATCACTACCCCAAGGAGTCTCAAAGCGGCTAACAATCTCCTTTTCCTTCCTCCCCCACAACAAACACTCTGAGAGGTGAGTGAGGCTAAGAGACTTCAGAGAAGTGTGACTGGCCCAAGGTCACCCAGCAGCTGCATGTGGAGGAGCGGGGATGCGAACCCGGTTCACCAGAATACAAGTCCACTGCTCTTAACCACTACAACACACTGGCTTCATATACGCACTAGTTCATATACACACTGCTGAGAGGTTTGGTATCTTTTGCTGGAGTTGTGACATAAATAAGCCAACTTGAATAAAATATGGGGGGGGGCAGGTAAGATCACAAGACATGACACACACCATTTGAATGGCAATGCCTATCAACTTTGTGGGGGCCTAGCCCCCTCAAATATTTTATTGGGGGCTGAAGGGAGCTTGGCCCCTAGGAGTTGGCTTCTATGACCCTTTAACCTATGCCCACAAGAAGCTCTCACACAGAGGAATAAAAAAAGCTTTATTATATGAAGGTTTATTCTATGAAATAGGAGAGGCAGAATATATATATAAATGCTGCTTTAGACAGCAAAGCTACAATCTAAGCAGGTAGCAAATTCTATAATACATACAAACCTTGATTAAAGAGTAAAAGGTTCTCATGCTTCCCCCAGAAAACACTCTCCTTAGCGCTAAATCGGAACAAACAACAATCCATGGAAAACCCAACTGCCATTTGTTCCAATTCAGAGCTAAAGACCAGGTTTCCTCGGGAGAAAGTGGCAAGGGCAAATGTGGCTGTGATCGAGCCCAGAGTTTCAAGCTGTTCTGGGCAGCTTTGTGGTGTTTTTCAAAAAGCGAAGGCAGAAGGCAGCCTCGTAAGTAATATTGTTCAATCAATGCTTACATCGGTTCAGTGATCGTTCAGACTTATCCACATACCTATGTTCTGATCCACGCATGGGTCCAGGTGTCTGAAATTGAAATGTTCCCTCCACAATGTGGAATGAAACTAAACCCTCTGACAACTCGGCTGCAGAAGTTGGCTTTCTGTTGTAAATCTTGACTTTAAATCAGGCTCTGCACAGTGTTGGTAACTGAACAGGTTTATTAATAGGGTTCTGTAGAGCTCCCTGGTGCATCTGTTAATGCAGGCCGGTAACAAGATTTCTTCTCATCTAAGAGAAGTAGGCTGGAAACTGGTAGTTGGGTTATCTTTAAGGAGGCAGCAAGCAGTTAATTTTAGGTGCCTGATTGCAACATAAGGTTCAGCAGCCACTTCAGCGTTTTGGGAGAGGAGTTGGGGGATGTTTCTCCATTACTGATAAAATCCCTGCTCAACTATGCATCTCTTTGGGTGTCCTTGGGCCAGTCCCTATCTCTCAGATTAACCTACCTCACAGGACTGTTGTGAGGAAAACAGGAAGTGGAGCAGTATGTTAATCTGAGCTCCTCATAGAAACAATATTTTCTATTGTTTTCTATTGTCTATTTTTAGAAATAGACTGGAAAGAGAAGTTGCTGAATTGCAACTTATTACCAAACTTAAAACCATGGAGAGACCTGGTCTGAAATACAGACATTGGATTCTTATCTCATTACACATGATAAAGCTATTTTTAGCCATCCCACCCCTTGCTTTTTCCTGTAAGACCAATTGCATTTGTTAACAGTCGTCAACAGGTTTACCACACCTATCAGCCAATCACCCATTCCCACCACCCTTCTGAGTAATACCCCTCCTCACCCTCTCACAATATATAAGGGGGTGGTGACGTCTGTTTCAGTGTATCTGAAGAAGTGTGCATGCACATGAAAGCTCATACCAATAACAAACTTAGTTGGTCTGTAAGGTGCTACTGGAGGGACGTGGGTGGCGCTGTGGGTTAAACCACATAGCCTAGGACTTGCCAATCAGAAGGTCGGCGGTTCGAATCACCGTGACGGGGTGAGCTCCCGTTGCTCAGTCCCTGCTCCTGCCAACCTAGCAGTTCGAAAGCATCTCAAAGTGCAAGTAGATAAATAGGTACCGCTCCGGTGGGAAGGTAAACGGCGTTTCCGTGCGCTGCTCTGGTTCGCCAGAAGTGGCTTAGTCATGCTGGCCACATGACCTGGAAGCTGTACACCGGCTCCCTCGGCCAATAAAGTGGGATGAGTGCTACAACCCCAGAGTCGGTCACGACTGGACCTAATGGTCAGGGGTCCCTTTACCTTTTTAAGGTGCTACTGGAAGGAATTTTTCTAACCTACAGTATTAATATTAGTATTACTATTAGTATTGTTAACAGTAGTCAACAGGTTTACCACACCTATCAGCCAATCACCCATTACCACCACCCTTCTGAGTAATACCCCTCCCCACCCTCTCACTAGATATAAGGGTCTGGTGACTTCTGTTTCAGTGTATCTGAAGAAGTGTACATGCACACAAAAGCTCATACCAAGAACAAAATTAGCTGGTCTCTAAGATGGTACTGGAAGGGATTTTTTTAAACCTATAATATACTTCAACATTATCAAAACACACACACGCACACTCTAAAAGCAGTATCTCAAAAACTCAATTCATTAAAACCTACTCAATGATTCTCAAAGGGAAATAAATGGGTGTTAATTGATTTCATTCTTATCCTTGTTTTGTATTTTATTTTGGGGAGTGAATTGTCACTTCAAAGTGATACATGAACTGAAACAAAGGTATCTTTTTGTGTCTGCACGTTGAACAGTTACCAATCTCTGTCCTAAGCTCTTTCTTACCCTCCCCTCCCAATATTCCCAAATGCTAACCCTTTACTAATCTTGTGGAGATAATTTGAGCCTTTGATGCTGTGAGAACCCTGTGGGAAACTGCTTTTGCAACATCATCAACAACAAAAAAACCACTTTGGGCACTTGAAAGATGCAAGCAAGGAGTTGTTGCTCAACATTCATCGTACTCCGAGTAGACCCGTGGAAATCAATGGCCATGACTAACTTGGGTACATTAATTGTAATAGGTTCACTCTTATTGAATACAACCCAAAGATTTCACAAGGATGATACCCAAAACAGGCTTCCCAGATATGAGCACAGTGAGCCTGCTTATCGACATTTGACCTACAATTCTATGATGCTATGACCAGCCTGAGCAAGTGAGGTGACAATAGTATCGTTGTTTCAAAGGTCAGTTGCATTGATGGTGTATACAACAACTCAGTACATACCATCGGCCTCTATTCCCCATGGAACTTAAGCTGCATGCTTTCAAATGTCAGTGTTTCTCATTCTTTAGAATTGTAAATGCAATACCATTCTATGTCAAAGCTTACTGCTATCGACACCAGTGGCACTGAAAAGAAGAAAGAAATCTTGCATTACCCCCCCTCCCCAGAAACCATTAAACTGTTTTGCACAACCAGATGTATTCTGTACCATGGAGGATATAACGTTGCAAGGTGTGATCAAAGTCAAGAGTGATGTAGGAATCAGAATACCAGGTTGGAGGTGCATTCAGATTTTGGAAATATTGCATTAGTTTTCCTGATTGTAATGCTAGTGCTTCTGCGCCATTTTTCTCGCATTCCTTTCACACTGGAGGAACTGTTTGTGGGAATGTCGAGGGTGGTAGGAGAGGATATATTGTTTATTAATATCCTTCCTAACTTGCACTAGCAGGTTTGTTCACTTAGCAGAGTGCATTCCCCTTCTTACACAG